AAATATTTTTTTCATATAATAAACAAAACACAAACTTTTTAAATATGTATCTAAAAAGACTATGTAATATGGTTTAAAATAAAAAAAAATGAAATCGATCCGATCAGTAGAACCGGAGATAATGAATTTTAAGTACATAGAATTCAGCATTTTTTCAAATTTTATCAAAAGTTTAAATCAATAAAGGTATCTTTGGAAAAATAAATTTTCTGCAAAAATTCCGATATAGGGGTCGGCTAAATTTATGAAAAGATGCTGTAAAAAAAAATTAAGTCATTTTAAAAATTTGAAAAAATATGTTTTCTGTAATCCGTACGATATGTAAAAGAATGTCTCATATGCATATGCATATGTTGTTTTGTTTTTGTTATAAAAATGTGTTTATTTAATATTAGGTAGGTATAATTATTATACAATATTAACTTTATTAAATAGAACATTAAACTAATAACTACCTATTATAGGTAGTTATTAGTTTGATGTTCTATTTAATAAAGTTAATATTGCAAGGGATCGGTCCATGGTTATTTCTGTTGAACTTGTTTAGATATTGGCAACGCCCCCTTTTTTTGGAAAAATTTTCGCGGCGGGCGTTTTCCATGTCCTCCAACCCCAAGCTTAAAAGGTGGCAACCCTAATTACAATTAACATTTAAAATGGGCCGAGTAAATGTTGCAATCCATTAAATAAAAAGAATCACAAATACGTAATTAAAAATTTAGTTTTAATCACAGCCAATCGAGCTTGCGATTTTAAGGATTTTATCGGATATTACATGTGCTCATGTAACATTTGCATGCAAATCTTGTGAGAGAGCAATATATCTTAGTCGTAAACCTGGAAAACTTGATAATCCTGCTGAAAAACCTATAAATAACAATGTAAATATTGATGCGACTGATCCAGAAGTAGATGAGATTGAAGATGATAACAAGAAAGACCCGACCTTCAAATCTGATACTGTAGATAATCAATTAAAAATTAATAACCTTAATAAATTGCTATTGGAGGTCGGTGAACCACCAATAAAAGTGAGACTGAGTGTAAAAAAGCAAGTCTAACTTCTATAAAGAAATTGAGCGGTACTGATATTAATCATAAAAATCCAAATGATGTTCTTTTAAATAATTTTAAGTCTGCATTTGACCAAACAAATAGTAAGTCCGAAAAAATCCAAGTGTTGACTACTCTTCCGTTAGATTGGCCAATAAAAATGATACGACGCGAATTCAAAGTTGCAAAAAATTAGGATTTCCGTCGCAGCCTGATGCTAAAAAAGGAAAAAACCTGGATAATTCAACACTCGATCGCGTTAAAAAAATTTTTTTTTCTGATGACGTTAGTCGTGTGATGCCTGGAATGAAAGATTATGTTACGGTTTCAGAAAATGGTAAAAAAGTCCAGAAACAAAAAAGACTCTTATTATTTAACATTAATGACTTACCTATATAAAAAATTTAAAGAAACTTTCCCGGATGAGAAAATTGGACAGACTAAATTTCAAACTCTACGACCACGAGAATGTATTTCAGCTGGAAAAAGTGGAACACATAATGTGTGTGTATGCAAAATTCACCAAAATGCAAAATTACAATTGCACGGACTGAAAAATAAACTAAAAAAAAAAAGGATTTGATTTCCCTGAAAGCTTAAATGACTTGATTCAAAGCTCTGTTTGCGTTCAACCAACATCATCATGTTTCTTTTCAACTTGTAAAAAGGGTCCAGAAGTTGATTTTGTCATTAAAAAGTTAAAATTATTGATTGATAGTCATGAAATAACGAACATAACTTTTAGCCAATGGAAAAGTACTGAAAGGTAAGAAAAAAGACTAAATATTAACAAATTACTCACATAATTATTAATCTCAGTACAAAATTTTAAAGAATAACTTGTCAATTAGATCTATAATTAAATAATTTCTATTTGTTTATTAGTTAATGAGAGTAAAAATTTATCTCATTAACATGATTGATTTCATCTTATAAATTTGTCTAGTTATTGTTTTTTTGTTTTTTTACACAGTTAATAATCTTATACATTGGTTTTAAATTTTCCCTGATAGCAAAATTTGATTCTAAGAATCTTCTAAGAAGATACGACTCGGAATAATGGAATATTCTTAGAACCTTCCCTTATTGCTAAGAATGTTCTTAGGGACTTTTAAAACATTCAATAGATACCCTTTTAATGATGCAAGTAGATTCTTAGAAGCTTCTTAAAACCTTCCTAAAAAGCAATCTAAGAACATTTTAAGAATACGTTTTTGGAATGTTCTTAGAAGGTTTCTTATGGAGCTTCTAGGAAGCTTTTGAGAATATTTCCAAATATGTCAGATACCCACGTTCTAATATGTTGTATTTTCCATTCGTAAAATTCTTCAGGAGACGACAAATACGCCTCACTGTCATAATATGACAGTGAAATGTATTTGTCGTCCCCTTAAAAATTTTTGTGACATATTAATATATATTTATTTAAAAGTATTAAATAAACAATTTGACCTCTAAACCATAAGTTGTATGACATTATTACATAAAAAGTAAAATTGGAAAATTTTGTGGGATAAGTCAGATTAGATTGAAGTTGAAGATAGTTAGGATTATTATACATAAAAATGTTAATTCAAAAATAAAAAATCGGTATACAAATTAATAAATATTATTTTTAACATTAAATAAAATATAAAAAACAAAATATTTACTTAAAAAATAATTCTTCATAAAAGAAAAAACCAAAAAGTTCTTCATAAAAAAAACATTTTTCATTGTATTTAAGTTGGATAGAAGATTTTATGTAAAAGCCGGATAATTTAGATACCTATAGCAAAAGTATTTTTGTTATCTAATATTGTTTTAATTTGATAAATAACTATAAAAAATATTTTGGGTTGTTTTTTACTTAGTATTTAATACTAATTACTTTCTCAACATTCTAAGCATATGCTTAGAGTCGATTAATTTTTACCACTAAACTTTGCACCTTCTAAGAACCTGCCTAGAGGCCAGTGAGAATATTCTTAGGATTATGCTATATTTCTTTTAAGCATGTTCTTTAGAAGAAATATAGGATGATCCTAAGAATATTCTCACTGGAAGGTTTAAAAAACATTCTTAGAACATGCCTAGAAGAAATATAGCATGATCCTAAGAATATTCTCACTGGAAGGTTTAAAAAACATTCTTAGAACATGACTAGAAGTAATATAGCATGATCCTAAGAATATTCTCACTGGAAGGTTTAAAAAACATTCTTAGAATAAACTGTGCTATCAGGGTTACAGGACTGAAATTGTTGAAGCAACCTATACCAAAGAAAATTTTTTAAGTGAGCTAAAAAATAAGTGGTCAGAGCTATTGAAGCATGATTTTGTAGCAAAATCTCAAGCATCTTTCTTCTCTAAACAAAAAGAATCTGCTGAAGCTGGAAAGTTTATAGTCTGTCTAGATTTCTCCGAAAATTATTCATTTTTTGTTCAAGACGCTATCCAGTCACATCATTGGTCTAATGATCAGGCTACACTTCATCCGTACGTCGCGTATTATAAAGAAAATGATGAAATAAAGCATGAAAATTAAGTGGTGATTTCCGAGAAAGTTAGTCACGACGCAAGTTCGGTCCATCTTTTTAATGCAAAACTAATTGAAGTTTTAAAAAATAAATTTGGTGCTGAAAATGTTAAAAAAATTAAGTACTTTTCCGATGGAGCAGCTTCACAATATAAAAACAAATATAACTTTGCCAACTTAATAAACCATTCAAAAGATTTTGGTGTTAAAGTGGAGTGGAATTTTTTCAGAACATCTCATGGAAAAGGAGCGTGTGACGGCTTAGCAGGAAGTGTAAAAAGACAGGCTTTTCGTGCTAGCCTTCAACGTGACAAAAATAATCATATTACAACACCACGTTCCTTTTTCCAGTGGGCGGAAAATTCATTTAAAAAAGTTCATTTTGCTTTCTGTTCTCAAAAGGATCATGAATTACATGAGCAAAAATATCAACAACGATTTGAACGGGTAATTACAATAAAAAATACTCGTCAATTCCACTATTTTAAACCGTTGGATGATGTATTTTTGGAGTGTAAACTTGTATCGGACGATGAGAAAGTTTTTACTAACAGAGTTTAAAAAAAAATAATATAAAGATTACGAGAAGTTTATAAATTTTTATGTTTAATTACTAGTTAATTTTTTCTGTTTTTGTTTAATAATAGAGAGTTTATTTATTGTATTACTCATAATATTAATATTAATAATAATAAAATTGGTTTGATAATTATATTTTTAATTGTTATTTGTAATTAATAATTAACCGAAGCTGCAATGTAGTCTGACGCTAGGCCGCGCGGTGTTCTGACAGCGGTTGGCGCCCGGCGCGCTGTGATAAATAAATTCATATTCTTTAAACTAATCACGAGCAGTAAAATTTTCTTCCGGAATCTTAAACTTATATAAATAACCCATGTGTCTAGTAAAAAAAAACTTCAAATTTTCACCGAGAAATCAATGAAATTTTCATTTGTTAACTTAAAAGTTAATTAACAATATGATAAAAAACAAATAATTTTTAGTTATTAATATTTTCTTAAAATATATATATTTGACAGTAAATCCTGAAAATTTCATTAATTTATCTGTAACGGTTGATTTAAAATCTAATTTTTAATTAAAAGTACCTAAAATTTTCATTGTAAAAAAAATTGTGGTTAAAATTAAAATTTTTCAAAATTGTTTGGGGGATCAATTTTTCATACTAACAACTTATGAAAAAAATATAATATATTATGGACTTAATTTTGATGATCAAGTGGAAAATGGGGGGTCCAGTTGACGTGATCTTGCTCAATATTATTGCGTTTTTGAACTTATGGCGCCATCTTTTAATAAATTGTTAAACTCTCTTTTAGATTTCTTTATTTAATATGTAGAGTTCTCTAAATATGTGGATTTTTCCAAAAATTTACAATTGATATTTATAGATGGCGCTGAAAAAAGGGTTTCTTTAATTAGCTGTCATAAAGTATGGTAGGTAAATGTCTCGTGGTAAAAAAGGGAAAATTTACGTTTGAAATAGAAAAAGTATGCAATTAAGTAAACACGCGAAAATAGGAGTTGGTTGGTAAGTTATAATTTATGTATTTATTTGTTAGTCTAAAAATTGTACAAAATTTATATTCAGTGTAACATAACCTTATTATTTTAGGGCAGTTTGTACAGTAGTTGGAATTTATTCGTTTTATTTATCAAAAACTACTATCGACAAGAGACGTTATGATAGTATGAAAGTAAGAGAACGTATGAGAGAATCAAATAGTGGTAAATACGAACCCAGTTACAGAAAATTTTCCACAAATTAAATTTACTTACCCAATAATAATTTTACCAAAGTTACCTCAAATTTATAAATAATGGCGACTGATGCAAAAAGTATGCAACTAATCCAAGAACTAGAAATTGAAATGATGGCTGATATGTACAATCGTCTAACAGCAGCATGTCACAAAAAATGTATTCCTCCAGTTTACAATGATGCCGAAATTGCCAAAGGGGAAGCAGTTTGTATCGATAGATGTGTTGCTAAATTCCTTGATATTCATGAAAGAATAGGCAAAAAATTGGGACAATTATCAATGCAGGATGAAGCACTATTAAAGAATGCACCAAAATGAGTTGTATAAATTAAATTAGTCATATTAGATTATTGTTGTTTTATAAGTGTTTTTGTAATTAAATTGGAACACTTAAAGATGTTGAAATGGACGGAATAATAAAGTTCTACAGCATGTTATAAAAAGAAATGTTTTAATAAATTATCCTAATTTATGTACAATAAAAGGTAAGGCAATTTTATTCCAGATTAAATACACTTTTCTTAGATTTAACTTCTTCAGTGGGTTTAAAATGATCAGCTGTTCTTTTTCTTATAACATCAACCCCTTCTTCGGTGGAAGCCCACTCAAGTACCAACCTTCTACCATACAAATGAGTACTTTGAGATAATGCTTCAAAGGCAGACTAAAAATATCAAATTAATTTTCTTACTGCATTTAACTGTACAATCGACTTACTTTTGCATCTGAATTTGTAACATAATCAACAAAAGCAAAACCTCTGTGTGAATCTGAGCCAGCAGCCATTTTTTTGGGAAGTCTTAGAGCCTTAATTTCACCAAAGGTACTAAAATGTTAAAAAAAAACTTAAAATTTCTAATTTTTTGAATATTTTCAAAAAACTAGAATTAATATTATATATAGGTATATTTTTCAAAAAATTTCCAAGACATCAAAATAAAGGTTTTGAACTTGGTCATATTTTTGTACAAATTCAATAACTAATTATTTTAGAATTTTTACCTAAATAGTTCCTGAATTTCCTTCAATTTTGCTTGGAAAGGTACATTTCTTACTAAAATCTTGGTTCCTGTTTGTTTTGTTGCCTTATTCACTTTTCTTGACGATTGTGCCTCATTTCTAAAAACAAATATTAATATAAATAGTATTAAACAAATTAAAATTACTTACTTAAGAGTTCTTTCTGATCTTTTCAATTCCAATGTTTTTCCATTTAACTCTAGACCTTGTAAAGTTTTTAATGCCTTATCAGTACTAGATTTATGTGTAAATCTAACAAAACCATAACCCATTGATAATTTGTTATCTGGATTGTTGATGTCTTTTTTTAATGCTACATTGGCATAATGTACTTTACCACACACAGCAAAATGCTAAAAAACACACATTAATTTTAAAACTATAAATTATTAAATATACTTTTTTTAATTCTTCATCTGTAGTTTTGAAGTTTAAGTTCTTGACAAACAATGTTGTATCAGGCTCTGGTTCTTCCTCTTCTTCTGGTTCAACATTTTCCACCTTTTCTGTTTCTGTACTTTGAGTTTCTTTAGCAGTTACTGGTCTGGAAATATTAGTGCCTGTTAATGTGTTTTCTGGAGCCCATTCCAAATACAGAGGCACATTCTTAAATTTGGAATACGCCAATCTTGTGAAGGCTTTCCTTGCTTCAGAAGGCTCAAAATATTCAACAATTGCTAAAAAATATTATTATTAAAGTTTGCATAAGGTTATATTTTATAAGAATCTTTACCTGTTATTCCACTAGGGGGCAATATTATTCTTCCAATTTCTCCATGCTTCTCAAACAAACATCTTATCTCAGATATTTCAGTTCTGGATGGTAAATTTTTTATTAGAATTACTGTTTTTGATCTTTTGGTAGTTGGCTGTAATACAAATAATTATACTTAATAATTAAATCTTATCAATATATCACACTTACTGTTGCAAATGCATCTAAAACAACTCCTTCCTCTTCCAAATATTTCCTAGTTTGAGCCACAATCTGGGTTTCTCCTAGTGCCAACCTAACAGCAGCACTTCCTTTTCCATCGGGCCCCACCACAGCCTCCTTAGTTGTCCTATAACTATCCGCTACCACTTCTGCAACAGCATCATGTCCCAAAAACAGGGAATTCCAATTGTGCGAGGAACCGGCTTGAGACTTTTGTTTAGCGGCCTGTTTTTGCTTAAAATTTGTTGATTCATCCAATTGTGCCTCCTTGTCATTGTCTTTACTTTTTCCGGGAAGTAAATGAAGCATTCTGCCGTGAAGAATGGAGCCGTCGAGTTCACTGTAAGCTTTGACTGCATGTTCAGGCATTAAAAACGTTATTACACCAAAACCTTTCATTTTCCGTGTGGTATTGTCAATAGGTAGATTTACTTCAGTCAATGGACCTTTAAAATACAATATTATATTACCAAATATTTGTATACAGGGTGTCCTGACTTAAACAGTTGAAAAAACGAACAAAAACCTGTTTTCGTAAAAATTGTTATTTTTGTGAAAAATTGTTTTTTTTTTAATATACACATTTTAATAAAAGTAGCAATCAACAACTTAAGTTAATTACCATTATTTTAATTAAAAAATATTACAGAAAAACAAATAAAACTAAACTGAATTGAATTCAATTTAATTGATTTAAGAAAATAAACGTGAACGTTGGGTCCTTTTTGCAAAAGGGAGTCCATTGAAAATATCCTATTACAAAATAATGAATGATTTATAAAGTTAAATTACAAAATTATACCCTGCGCGTCAAAATTAACGCATCTTTATGAAATTTTGTATAAAATACTTCAACTTATAGGTATCTCAGTTTACTTGTTTGAGGGTTTTTCGAGAAAATATTTTTAAAGTCCTTTTATTTAATAATAAAAAAACGTTCGAAAAATAACTTTTAAACCCTTATCCTTATAACTCAAAAACTACCAGAAAAAATGTAATTAAATAAGCGATTTTTGTCAAGGCACTGGTAAAACGGATTGCCGAGGCGTGAGAGAGAGCGTAGTGAGTGATGACGTCACTGTGCTCTTAACTAATAAATTGAACTACCGTACTTTTCTTTTATTTTACATGCAGGTTTTTAAGAGTGGGAGAATAATGTTTCGTAATTCGGCAGTAGTTTATGAGGCGCCGTTTGTGCCATAAATATGATTTATAAAATATAGAATTATTTGTAAAAATATAAATATTTTTTGTAAAAATATAAATATTTTTTTTTAATATAAATAATTTGTTTGAAATATATATATTTTAACTCATTTTCTTAGATATATATTAGTTTTACTAAAATATATAATATTTTAACTAAATAATATATATTTAAAACAGTAATACTAATAATATAAACTCAATACTAATAATATAAACTAAGCTTACAAGACGTAACGCTAGGAGGCACTGGCAGCTTTATTTAACTTGGCAACGCAGCCTTTCTTTCGTTTCATGTGAGAATTACAGTGGTGTAAATTAAATAACTTTTTGCCGCACTTTGGCTTTTTGTTATTTTTTATATGTTTTTTTAAATCCAGTTCTGGATGTTTATTGTCGTGACTCTCTTTTTAAACAATAATTTTTTATTCCTTAATTCTGGGCTACGCAAAACTATGTCGTCGATTTGGTTCCATTACTGCGGTGAAATTTTAAATGACCTATTAATCTGAGATTTTAATTTAAACTTATACCCAAGTGCTTTATTACGTACCAGAGGTATTATTATTTTTATGTATCTTCTAGTTTTATTTAATTTACACCACAGTAATTCCGACATGCAATTACAGACAGGCTGCGTTGCCAAGTTAAATAAAGCAGCCAGCGCCTTCTGGCGTTACGTCTTGTAAGCTGAGTTTATATTATTAGTATTAAAATTATATTATTAGTTCAACTGTCCAAATATATAAATATTTTAAATATATATTATTTTGTAAAAATATTATTATATTTTAGTAAAACTAATATATAAGTTATAAAATAAGCTAAAATATATATATTTTAGATAAAATATTTATATTTTAAACAAAATATATATTTATTTTAGAAATTATTATATATTTTACAAATCATAATTATGGCACAAACGGCGCCTCATAGTAGTTACGCATTATAAAGTTAATTTACGTTTAAAAATGATTCAGATACTTAAAATGTAACGTAATCACTTTTAACAGTAAATTATTAATTAAAGGTGTAAAATCATTATTTGTTTTGCATTTAAAAAAAAACGTTTAAACAAAAAACTCTCTTAAAAACAAATTAAAATAAACAAATAAATTCTCTTAAAACAAAACTAAAAATCAAACTTCTTAAAATAAATGTAAATAAATTAAACCTTTGGATAACGTTTGTTATTGTTCTAATAGACGGAATAGAACGTTCCGGATATTTAACTGAGAATAGGTCTCTTTATGACGTAGGGAATTGCCCACTAAAGACCAGCTTATTATGTCAATTTTCTCTTGCAATATGTAGGATATTATAACTTATAAATTTAAATAAAAGAAATTCATTCATGTTAAAACGCTTGAAATACACACTAGCAAATACAGGGGGGCGATCGGGTTCACTTGAGTGTATATATTTCAAATGAAAATGCGGTATATCCTATTATAGTGCGATTTATAGGGGCACTCTTTATATATTTTTAATTCGTAAAAAAAATAATTGTTCTCTTATGAGGGATTTGAGTTCAAAACCCTCAAAATTGAACTTTTTAGGGCGACGTAAAAACGTTCGCATATTGATATCTGGTCTTAGTCTTTTTAAGACTTATTGAAAAATTCAGGGTTGGCAAAAATTGGGTAAAGTAGAAAAACTGACCCACAAGGTTCCTCCGAAAAAACGGGTTTTTGTTTTCCGCGGGCAAAATGCTTTTTGAAAAACTCGTTTTACTCCGGGTTTTTGTAGTTTTTTCCAGCAGTTTTTTCTAGTTATGTTGATTCTGGGAAAAAAATCTGCATACGTAATATTTGAAAAATACACCATAGAGACCTAAACAAATTAATCTATCGGGCGCTACCGGATTCAATACGTGCATTTGTCCATGGTTTTTTTCCGGATACGGCCCGATTGAAAATTTATAGGAAATTACCTATAGACACACCATAACTTTTACATTTTTCCTATTGAGACCGATAGCAAATAACTCAATGAAGGATATATAGGGATATCCCTATAGAGCAACCATAAAACATTTGACAAAATTTTATTAAAACCTATGGGGTCCTATGGGGGAAAAACTAATTTCTACATTTATGTGTATTTTCCCCATTGAAACCAATAGCAAATAAATCAAGGGTGGATGTCTCTATAGAACAACCATAAAACTATGGGTCGTATACATACCGATACACCCTTTAGAAACACCATACATTCCGATACAAATATCTATCAGTTTGAACAAGGTCTCTATGGGGTATTTTAAGCAGGGGACTAAAAGATTAAAATCACCGCAAAATTTCCAGTCTATGCTAAAGACAGAAAAAAAATCTTAAAAATGTATAACAACAATGGCATAATGATATGTAATTTATATTTTTTTCTCTGGGTTAAGGGGTAGAGCAGGGGATAATTTTGTATCTATCTGAACTTTGCCCAGATATGTAAATTTTGTAATAAATAATAAATAAAGACATTTATTAATATTATTATTTTAATTTTGACATTTATTTAGACATTCTAGCCACAGAAGAATTCTAGATTGTAGCATATAACGTCATTTAAAATCTAACAAAATTTTTTTGTTTAAAGTTATAACATATTTTTTTATTTTAACGTACCTATTGTCAGTTTTCTGTTTACTTGTCTTTAATGTTTAGTGTAATTAATAGAATATGATTTTTGTATTCAATATTTTCAACATTGTGTGAAAAAAATTTGAATTTTCAGTGTAATTTTATTAAAATGGGGAAGGACCTGGGTTGGTTTTTCTGGGTAGGAAATTTCTGTATCAACCCTGGAAAAAGTCCTTTAAGTTTTTAGCCTGATAATAAAGAATATATAAATACAAAAAGTACCTTAAGGTCTAATTAATATCAAGTTATTTACCATATTTAGAAAACATTTTCTCAATGTCATCCTCAGTTGTAGTATAAGATAAGTTTCTAACAAAAATTCTGCCAGATTCGGCAATATCTTCTTCATTTTTAAGAGTTTCTTCCTGTGATTTCCATTTATTTTTCTTTAAATCTTCTGTATCATCCTTTTTTTCTTCTTTAGCAGAAATGTCTCCTTTATAACTAAACACAGATATTTGTTTACCTCCTATAAAACTTTTATCTTTCATTAGAGCCTTTTTCATGCTTTTCTCATTTTTAAAACCTACATAAGCAATACCATGTATATTTCTAGGTATTCTTATTGTATAAGGTGTGTTGGGTTTAAAGAAATGTTTGATGTCTTTCTTTTTACAATTATAAGGTAAATCCTTTAACTAAAATTTAAAAAATAAATTAAAAATGTTTTAAAAAAACATGCAGCATTGCAAATTATATGGGCATTACAATAAGTGTATGAGGGCATGGGGCAAATGAATTTTTACCTCAATTTCATTAAATTGTAACAAATAAAAAAAAATAAGAAAATATATATTTGTTTAACTTTATAGTCATTTTTTTTAATTTTGTTCTTGCTAAACAAGGATATTTCAATATATAATAAGCAGATATACATATCAAATTTAAAAATATTGAACAAAATTTATCAAGTAAAAATAATATTCTTAATAAAAATAATAAAAAACTAAAATGTATTAAAAATAAAATAAACCATGCCAGGTGGCACCCCTTAATATTAATATAAAGTATTCAAATTTTTCGTATTATTCATAACTTTTTAATTTAGACAACTTACTTTAACAGTAAATAACTCAATTTTTTCCTTAACCTTCTTCTCCATTTTAACTCTAGGCTTCTTTTCAGAATTGTCACCTTTTCCCATGAGTTTTTTCATGTATTCCATATCAGATATTTCTTGATTGGCTAATTTGTCTTGTGTTTCATCTTCCTTATCATCTTCACTCTTTTCATCTGGTGAATCTTTTCCAGAGTCAACTGCACTATCATTTTCTTGTGTAGAAGCAATTTGTAAATTATGCAATTTTTCAATTTCATTGGGGGCCTGCACTTGCAAGAACTCTTCAAACATTGGATCATCTTTGTACTTGGCTAGTAATTCTGCAGCTTCATCTTTTTTAACTTTCTTGGTTTTCACTTTCTTATCCTTTTCTTCTTCTTTATTTTCTTCCCTGTGAGCGTTTTTATATGCCGTACTTTCAGTAGCATATTTACTCCATGCTTTTGGTTTATTTGTATCCCCAAGTAAAGCACATTTTTCCACAGTAATTTTACTTGTATTTAAAAACATATTGTTGAAATATTCGATTGCATCTTCTGCTTCTTTTTCATTTTGATATCCTATGAAACCAAAATTACGAAATTTTCCTTCGGGAGTGTATTTTAGCTGAACATCTGTAATTATTCCTTTTTGGCCAAACAATTCACGGATTTTATCTTCTGTAATTTTTTTTGGTAGGTTTTTTATAACTAAACGAGACATAGTATATATATATATATATATAGTAAAAATATATAGTAAAATAAAATATTTTCAAATATGTAGTCTCGTGTCAAAACAATATTTTAGGTTATATTTGGCACATGTTAAATTGTGCCGCCATCTACATTAACACATTAGAACCAAAAAAATATTACAGTTTCATGTGTAAAATAATAATTAGTTCCAAGTACCGACAAAAGATGATGGTTTGTGATAAATTTACACCAGAGATATGGATATCTCTGATTTACACATACTTACACACATATAGCGCTTATTCAATAAGCCTTATTGCCTATATTTTGTATAGATGACCTTGTTCCCGTTCCTGAGGGAAAATTTGTTGTTTTGGTGTGTCATTTTTCTTTATGCGCATAGTCAGTTAGTTCCTTTGAATAAAAAAACAGGTTTTTTATTCAAAGGTTAGTTCATAAGTGGGGGATCACAGAACTAAAGTCTACTATCTCTATGACTAAAGTCTTTAAACTGGGGTTAGTTATAAATTTAGAAAGACTGCACAATTTTAAAAACAGAAAATTATCCCAGTAAACACAAAACTCTCGGGAAACATTCGGCCAACATTCGGCACTATCGGGAGACTGGTGGCATAATTTGCTGTGTCCGGATCACTTACGGCCCGCATACAAACTCCCCAGTAGGCATTTTTACAAATTCGGTTAAAATACGGCCCGATTTCGGCAAACCAGTAACCGGGATCCACCCTTCGCGCCCGAATGCTATCCGAAAAAGTATAGCCCATGAACGGGCTGGATTATTTGCTACTTTCGGGCCGTCTTCGTTAAGTACGCTGATACCCGCTCTCCTCATTTTAAGTCTTTGGCATTCGTAGTCCCAAACACAGATCATAGAGGTCGCAAACACTTTACTTTAGTAGTTTAGCTGAACCACGTGAACGAAGTTTCAATGTTAGGTTATATTCCAGAAAAGCTTTTTAGGGATTGTTCAGGACAGTGTTATGTTGTTGTCCTTTAAAGAAAATAGTTTATAAATTATCCATATACTATAAACCACAATCCACATTGTGAATTGTGCTATAAACGATATACTTACTGTGTTTTGGTGCCGGTTTTTGTTTGAAAATTGTGTTTTTTGCGACAAACTAGTTTTGTGTGTAGTTTTAGGTTATAATTATAGTTTGTAAAATGGCAGAATCAAGTGAAGAGTAAGTTAAAACAACATAATTTATTATATTTTGCATATTTTGCCATTTCACTGTTAGTCTTAGGTAGGTATTTGTTAAGGGTATTTTCAGGTTTATCGTTTATTTTTGAATTAGGATATTTCTTAAAAGAATTAAGTAAATATGTCTTTTATTAAAAAAGTAAGCAAACGCCACAATTTTTTAACGTCGTGTTCTTAGTGAACAAATGAAATGTTTAATTGAAGATTGTTTATTAACGGATGACAATTTAACAAATAATGCATCGTTCCAATTACCTACAAGTTCTGTGTCTAGTAATAATGACCAACCTTCTTGTTCTAATAGTATAGACATATCAAGCAACACAGCTAGTAATATACCCGAGAATATACCCTTAAATATACCTAAAGAACTACCCAAAACTGATGGGTTTTCGGAGGGTTCTTATATAAATGTTATAGAAAAGGAGGTACCTGAAGTAGAGTGTAGTTTTGTTGATATTTTATTTTTGTTAAATTTTATTTTATTTTATCTGTTTTGTAGCGCAATACCATGTTAAGTTCAAATATATTTTTATCGATTTTTATATTTTTCCATATTTTTTTAATTGTTTCCCTATCACTTCCCTACTAACCACAAGTGGCCCATTGTCGGTTAGAAAACGGCAAAAGGTATCAAAACCGAACGTTAGCCGTATGATATACGCCAGCCATGCCGAAAGCATAGAAGCGGGTGGTGGTCCACCGAGTAACCCACTAGCTGATGCAGCGCCTGCATCCATATATCGGGAGAATCGGGCAGATTGGAAAACAAGTATTCTTGCCATCTCTGGCCCGCGAGTCTGTGTGTACTGGGCAATTTACTTATTAAGCAACGTATCGTAACCTTGCCGAAAGCACGGAAGCGGGTGGCGGGCCACCGAGTAACCCACTAGCTAATACCCGCTAATGACTCGGCTTTACGGTAAGTCGGCAGAAAGTCTGCCAGGCGGACATGCCCTACCTACACGCCGCGCCGGCAACCATGTTTCGGGCCGAATCCGGCAGTTCGGAAAAAAGTATTCTCGCCATCTCTGGCCCGCGAGTCCTGTGTTTACTGGGATATTAACTTATTTCACAATAAGTGTGTTCCCACCACAAAAAGCTATAATCGAATGTCCTCTATTTATTGAAATTAATTCATCGATACTTAAATCTGCTGTCTTGCAGATTTGCCTCGCTGTAGCTACAGCGAGTTGCGGTGTTGGATTACCGCTTTATTTTAAAAGTTGACTACAGAACATGGGGGATTTAAAATATATGATACTATAGACATCACATAACATAAGATAGAGAAATTAATACGTCCACGTACAGTTCATTTTTTTTATCTGGACTCGTGTTTTTTTGTTAGGTTGCTTATGCCAGTTTGACTTAATATTTTTAGTATTTAAAAATAGTACTTCTGCTAAAGAATTTAATTAAATACTTTGACTATTCCACTCATTATAATGAAATCTGATTGGTCCATAAAGTATACTTTATATAAAACTACTATTTAGGTGACTATTTCCCTCGTCTTAATTTCCACCAATCACAAACGCGCAATTTTAAATCACAAATGGTTTCTAGGTGGAAAAACTGTATGAGTCATACAGTACAGTACAGCACCTGTCAGCAGTTTTTTCGAGTTTACCCGCGGCAAAACTTGTCACCAAAAATTGCAATTTATATTTTAATTGTACCATAAATAATTAAGTTTGTAGTATTTTGTGATTAAATAAATTAGGTACCTATTTTTCAGTTATCAAATTTATACCTATAGTATGTATGTATTTATAAGTATGTATACATACTTATTTATTATGTATGCATATGTATAATAGGTAGTATGTTTTGTAAGCTGTATGTACATGTATGCAAAATAACTGTTACTCATGAAATAGTCTTGTCAAATACCATTCGGGCATCTAATTTTTCCTGTGAAAAAAATCGAAAAAACACAATGCTAAGTAATATTTTGCTCTTATGATATTACTTACGACTATTCCACTCATTACTTTTTGGACCAATCAGATTTCAGAAAACGAGTGGTTTTTTCAGTTTTGCAGCGATAAAACTACTATTCAGGTGAAAAAACCACTCGTTTATACGAGTTGCATAGCATCCAATTGGTTGCTATGCTAAAAATAATTGTCACTGTTGACGTTTTTAATTTTAAAATTAAAATGTTAAAAAATATGCGTCTTGCTCAAAAAAATCATACAGAAATTGAATTAGCAGTTAAAAATATTCTTAAAATAGTCTAACCAAATACCACTCGTGATAAAATTTTCCCTGAAAATATTTTTGATTTTTATACGAATGTTTTTTCCGCTTTAAATAAATTTAATAATTTCGTAATTTAGTAAGTTTAAATTGCACCGAACACAACTTTTTCTAACGTAGTAGTACTCTTAAGTGGAACCATGTGAAACTTATAAATTCTTACCACGTGGTACCTTTTTACAGCCAAGCATACATAAATATTGATAATGGGTAGATTTTTAGTATACGACGTGACCTAAAAAAGGAATAATAGCTATTCTGCTGTGTTAAGCTTAAATTTAAGGTCGTACCTATCTGCAATATTTTGTAGTAAAGGCAAAGATTAAATATACTATACTATAGATTAAGATTAAATATACTATACTATACTATATAGAGTATATTTAATCTTTGGTAAAGGACAGAAGAATATTTTAATTTTAAAAAACGATAAAAAATGGCTTTTTTGCTACTAACTACTAACTACTAAATATTGCAGATATGAAGTTTTGTCTTCGAACGGCAGTTTGTGGTAGTAAAGAAAAAACTTTATTTTTTATTGTTTTTAAAAATTAATTTTTTTTTCTGTCCTTTACTACAAAATATTGCAGATACGACCTTTAAGCTTAACACGGCAGTATTTATGCCTTAATTATTATTAATATTTAAATTATTATTTATAAAATATGTTTTCTACTCCCACCATTAAAACGCCCTTTATCGTACATGTTTCCATGACACTAAGTGACCTTTTCAAAACTCATTGACAAGTTGTGGCTTTATGGCGCTTTAGTCACGGGCTGAAGTTAGCAACAGGTTTTTAGTCACGGGCTGAAGTTAGTTTTAAGTTAGTTGACAGTTGTCAAATGTCATACAATCGTTAAAATAAATTTCTTTTCTTGTAAAATAATAGGTACTAAATGTGAAAATTATTTTATTATCCCAATACAAAAATACAAAAGTATTAAATAGCTTCTCAACACCAATATTTGAAAAGTTTATATGAACATTGTACTGACCTTTTAATTTCGCTGGCAGTAAACTATAGTTATATATAACTTAAATTCGGGCATGGACTCTATTGTGAAGTCCTCATAAAACATTTCCTTTACTTTCACTGTGAAAAACTGTCAATTTTCAATACATTTCGATTTATAACCTTTATAATTGTGTTTATAAAATGTAAAAATGTGACATTTGACAGTTTCCCCTGTTGTTTCATAGATGGTGCTCTATTTTTGATTTAAATCATTTTAAGATAATAATAAGTATTTGTCGTAGAAAAAGTATAGTATGCACCTCGTTTATAAACTTTTCTCTACGACTACTTAAGAATAGTAACATTCTAGTGTAATTTTTAATCATAGAAAGGATGTTTTTCTGCAATACTATGCGAGAATATTCCTACTCTTGTTTAAGAATGGTCACAAGTAACGACATCTCCTGGCTGTTTACTAAACGTAAAAAATTTAAAAATATTTAAATATTACTGTATTATTAATTAATTAAAAAATAATAGCAGTTGTATAATTAAGGTTTAGGCACAAAAAATT